ATTTGATATACAAATACTTGTTAAATACACACTTTCTGTCCAGGGGGCCCAGGCTTTCCAGGCGAGCCATCCTGTCCTGGTTTTCCAGGCTCTCCAGGTAATCCTGTGGTTCCTGGAATTCCACTGATACCTATAAACATGGATAAGACAAGCATATTGCTCATATATGGATACAATTACACAAAGATCTTGTTGACGTCTTGTCAATTTTTATGAAATTCATAATTTTCTCAAGGTACATGACTTGAGGAAAGTCTTTGTTGAACTTTTGTTCCTTAATGTACTTTTAAGTTTTAAATAGCTCACCTTTAGGACCTGCTGGACCAGGAAATCCAATGCCCGGTAGTCCATGATCACCCTTTTCTCCAGGAAAACCTGGTAACCCTGAATCTCCTGGAGGACCTCTGTCACCTGCAATAAACATCATGGATGTTGAACTTCAAATTATTTTGTTCTTCCACCTCAGTTATTTAATTGCTTAAGGACAAGCTTAAGTTAACAAAAAAAACATCCTAAAAGCAACAGTTAAAACCAACATTCTTAGTTAAAATACATGTTGACAGTGAAGATGTTTACCTTGAAGTCCAGGTAGACCAGTTTCTCCACGTGGCCCAGGTGCCCCCTGAGGTCCAGGAGTACTAACCCCAACACCTGGATCACCTTTTGCACCTGTTGAATAAAAGGCACAGATACAGTAAAATGTATTCTTTACTGACCCATCAGCTGTGTGAGAAAAATAATCATGCTCACCAGGTGGTCCAGGAGATCCATGCACTCCTGGTCTTCCCTGACTCCCCTTCTCTCCAGGCTCTCCTGGTCGGGCGTATCCTGGTAACCCTGGAGGACCCCTTTCTCCTGGGGGTCCGATAAGACCAGGGTCCCCATCAGGTCCACGCTCACCTTTGATACCCTCTTTGGCCTGGGAGGAAGATTTAATCCTTAAAGAGGGCTTTGTTTGGGTTTTTGTTTGTTTGTTTGTTTGTTTGTTTAAAAAATATTTTGCCAGAAAACAGAGTGAATGCTTCATGGTGAATACAAGTGTAACTGCAACAAATTTAGTTTGATTTGTGCACAAAGAAGAGACAATAAATTCCTCCAACTTAAAGGAATATTTTCTTTATGTGCGCTTGCGGGAAATTTATGAACAAATAATATCTTACCTGTTGTAGATACTTCTTTTAACAACCTCAGTTTGGAGAAATAATTTAATTCTAAGAAACTAATAACTAGACTGAATGAGGCCAAGACTAAAATGAATTGATATTGTCATTAAACTAGTTTAATCAGTGATGACAATGAGATATTTTATAAATAAAATTGTTTCAATCAGGGAAAAAAAAAAAAACATTCCTAGAATTGCCTCTGGTTCTGTGTCATATGAGACAACTTTGAAAATGTCACTAGAATCTTATTTATGTTTGGACTGTTTTTGTCCTGTTCAGCTCTCTGAATTGTCAAAGCTTCATCCAAAACCATCTACATGTCTGTTAGATCCCATTCCAACAAGGCTATTTAGACATATTTCCCTTAATTAATAACCACGTCTTAGATCTGCTTAATTTGTCTCTAAGATTGTTGTAATTAAATCTTTACTTAAGAAACACAATTTTGACTCAGGATTCCTAGTCAACTATAGACCTAAATCTAATTTAACGTTCATCTCAAAAATTTGAGAGAAAATAGTTGCTAGTCAGTTGTGTGATCACCTGCAAAGAAATAATCTGTTTGAAGAGTTTCAGTCAGGGTTTAGAGGTCACCATAGCACTGAATCTGCACTGGTGAAAGTTACTAATGATATCTTCATGGCCTCTGACAACTGTCAGGTATGTATACTGGTCCTGTTAGACCTCAGTGCTGCATTTGATACAGTTGATCACAATATTCTACTACAGAGACTTGAATGTGATATTGGAATTACAGGAATGGCTCTAAATTGGTTTAAATCATATTTATCAGATAGATTCCAATTTGTAAATGTAAATAATGTATCTTCATCAAACACCAAAGTTAGTAATGGAGTTCCTGAGGTTTCAGTGCTTGGACCAATACTCTTTACCTTATCTATGATTCCATTGGGTGATGTTATTAAACAACATGGGATAAATTTTCATTGTTATGCTGATGATACACAGTTATATTTGTCCATGAAACCCGATGAATGCAATCCGTTTCTTAGACTACAAGCATATAAGACATAAAAACCTGGATGACCCTAAACGTTCTGCTTCTGAACACAGACAAGACTGAGTTTTTAGTTTTTGAACGTGAGCATCTTGGGAATTAATTTTTCAGTCTTTCGCCCTCCTTGGGTGGCATTAATCTGTCCTCTAGTTCTAATGTTAAAAATCTTGGTGTTATTTTCGATCAGGACATGTCTTTTAGCCCCCACATTAAAAACGTCACTAGAACTGCTTTCTTCCACCTACGTAATATTGCTAAAATTAGAAACATCTTATCTAAAAATGATGCAGAAAAACAGGTTCATGCATTTGTCACTGGACTATTGCAATGGTTTATTATCTGGATGTCCAAATACTTCTTTAAAACATCTTCAGTTCATCCAAAATGCTGCTGCTAGAGTCTTAACTGGAGTTAGTAGGAGAGATCATATCTCTCCAGTTTCAGCTTCTCTCCATTGGCTCCCTGTCAAGTCCAGCATTTAATTCAAAATCTTACTTGTAACCTACAAAGCTCTCAACAACCTAGCTCCATCTTATATTTGAGATCTTATTGTTCCACATTTTCCTAACAGAGCACTTCACTCTCAGACTGCAGGCTTACTCATGTCCTAGAGTTTCCAAAAGCAGAATGGGAGGAAGATCTTTCAGTTATCAGGCTCCTCTTTTGTGGAACCAGCTTCCAGTTTCTGTCCGTGAGGCTGACACATTGTCCAGTTTTAAGACTGGGCTTAAGACTTTTTTTTTTATATAAATCCTATAGTTAGGGCTGTCTTGTTATGCTGCCTTAAGCTTACACTACTAGAGGACAAATTGACCTCATTTCCTTAAATGATTTGCTAAAATTTAATAGTTTTCATTTGATACTATTTCTGTCTTAATGTGATTTTTGACCTGCCATTGTGTATCTGTTCCTCTCAAACCCAGCCAGTCGAAGCAGATGGTCGCTTGTCCTGAGCCTGGTTCTGCTAAACGTTTCTTCCTCATGAGGGAGTTTTTCCTTTCCACTGTCACCTTCATGCTTGCTCAAGATGAGAGTTCTATGATGGAGTTAAATTCAAAGCAGTCTGCTCCTCTGATAAATAATGTTAAATTATTGTTTTTATATATGAATGTTTCTGTTCAGTGCCCTGAGATGACTTCTGTTGTGACTTAGTGTTATAGAAATAAACTGAATTGAAATGAATTTAATTGAAACTAAAAAAAAAATCCTACCAGGTCTTTTTTATTAACCCCTATATATGTTTGTAAAATTTAAATTAAATGATTACTTATATAGAAAATAATTATTTTGAAGTGTACAGCAGCAGCTTTCTGTGCCATTTCTAGTGCAGCCTGAGGCACTCCTGCTAGGAATATCGCAATGTTTCTGATTAATTAAATGTGTCTGCCAATTTGCTGGTAAAAAATATTAGTAACTGACTTCACATGAAAACATACAAAAGTTTTAAGAATAGTTTTAAAATGACAGAAATCCACTTTGTTTTTGCCCTATCTCAGTTAGCTTTTCAATCTGGTCACAGTTGAACTTTGTTTCTCCAAAGTGAGATTGTTCAAAAAGCTATCCACAACAGGTAAGATATTTACTGTTCATAGTGCTTCCACAAACCCCACTCAATCGGTGTGAACTATCCCTTTAAAATACTTTGCCTTTTAATCTCAGTTAAAATTGATACGTGTTTTGGAAATCTAGTGTAGGAACAAACTAGTAGCCACATTTGCTAGACTCCAGCAGGAATAATGTTCCTGGAGGAGGTCATTTCAATTTTACAACAAATACATTCAGCATTCAGTATTAAATTTGTATCAGTGATTCCACTAGAAGTGTTAGAAATAACCTGTGTAAAATGAAATGCCAACTTATCACAAAATGATTTGAATACTCTTACAGCTATTGTCGCTAAACTTAGGAAGCAAATAAAGTTTTGGCGACTGCTATTCACTGTGAAAATATTCATCAATAAACCAAAATAAGTCCGGAGAAGCTTGTAACCCAGCAGGCTACAAAAATTTCTAGAGGTAATAGCAATTATTGAGTGAAAAGGAAAACTGATGCATTGGGTGGTGATGTAATGTTCTGGTTTCCTGGGCCTGATTAATCCCATTCATACACTTACTGGTTCTCCTTTGGGACCCTGTAGACCCTGGAGGCCATCTCTTCCTTGAAGTCCATCCTGACCTGGCTGCCCCTGTAAACCAGGATGACCAGGAAGACCTTTTTCCCCTTTAAAACCTGGTGCTATGTAAATGTCTCCTGGTTCACCAACAGCACCAGGGGCTCCCATCAGTCCAGGACTTCCTGCAGAGCCCTGCAAAAATGCACATGCAACAAAAATATCAGTAATTTATCCTCAAATGTTTAGTCTCCCTGTTTCCTTTCCCTTAATGTCATAATTAAGCATCTCGTTGATGTTTTGTCAGTGCAGAATATTCTACTCACAGGAGTTCCAGGTTCTCCAGGGAAGCCAGGACGACCCTTTTCTCCTTTAAAACCACCCGGACCTGGAGGTCCTGTCAAGTAAAACACAGAAAGTGTATATTTTAAGCTCGTTCAATCCTCTTATTAGTGGTGCTCAAAAATCCAAATTGTGTTTCCGACTATTAACAGTTGATGCAGAAACACCCAGAACACAAATTTCCACTCAATAAATGAAATCTAACCTAAATATGATCAAATTAATCCAAAATATTTAGAATTGCACACAATTTGAGGAATTTTGAATTTACACGATTATAATATCAAACTGTGCGACCAACGTTCTCCAAAGAGAAGTCATTGCGAGAGACAGCTGGATTATAAAAGGACACCTTTGTTGTATTTAAAGAACATGGTGTCACAGTTTTAGGATAATATTGTGAATGTTTATGAAGCATTCACACTGTTGCGATGCATTTTTCTTCCGTATGTTTTTCGGCGCGATTCTCCTGCAATTTTCAAGCTATTTCAACAAATCATAAATCAAAACGTTCAGCTCTTTCAGGGAAATTCTTCGGTTACTTTTGGTGTTGGTGCAACTTAAGCTTTTAGAAATATTTAGTCTTTTCTAGTTTTTTTTTTTTTTTTTTTTTTTTTTTTGAAGAAAATGAACTGAGCTTATTTTGCATCCTTCAAATATTTAGATCTGTTTACAACCTTTTACTGCTCCTTTCACATTTTGTTCTGGCTCAGCATCTTTGTGCAAATGTAAACTTCTTTCAGCTAATTTCAGCTACTTTCAGCTGTTTTTTCAGCTGTTTTGTGCTCTTTTCAGATTCTTTCTGCCAACTACAATATTTGTGTGCTTTTTCTAACTTCTTTCTGCTAATTTCAGCTTGTTATGCTCCTTTCAGCTTATTTCTACAAGTTTCAATTTTTACTACTATTTCAGCTACTATTTATCTGTTTGTGCTAATTTAAGCTTTTTAAGCTAATTCCACATTTTTGGCACTCATTTCATCATTTTTTAGTCTAATTCAGCAACAGTGTACTCTCTCCACTTCCTTTTGGTAATTCCAGTTGCTTTCTTCTTTCTAGCAAATTTTCAGCAGTTATTTTGCTAATTTCAGCTTTTTTTGAATTTCTACTTATTTGTGCTCATTTCTGCTTCTTTCAGCAAACATGTTCTTCCTGCTTTCTTCTACTAATTTAAGCTTGTTCTACTTTTTCAGCTAATTGTTTAGCAATATTTTTTTTACTAATTGCAGCTGTTAAATTCAAGTTTTATTGTGGTAATTTCTGCTACTTTCAGCCTAATTTACTTATTTCTGTTAATTCCAGCTTGTTGTGCTCCTTTCAGCTATTTTATTCTAGTTTAAGTTGTTTCTGCTATTTCAGCTACTTTTTAGCTGTTTTGTGCTAAACTTTTTCAGCTTATTCCACATTTTTTAGCTCTTCTTTCTGACTTTTCAGTAATCTTTTGTTAATTTCAGCTTTTTTAAGCCAATTTCCTATGTTCGGCTCATTTCTGTTTATTTAAACATAATTCAGCAAATATGTGTTCTTTCTGCTTTCTTCTTCTAATTTAAGCATGTTCTTCCATTTCAGCTACATTTCTGCATGTTTATAGCTATTTCCAGCCGTTTTTCAGCAAGGTCTTCAGCAATAAGCATTCACAATGCATTTTTGCAGGAAATGCAATTTCTCAGTTGAGGTTTAAATTTGGTCTTGTTCTCTTTTAGATATTTCACATTTAGTCAGTCTGTTCGTGTTTTATTTAGATCATCATTGCCTTTATTGTTCTTCATGAGTCTACAAATTCCATATGTGTGACCACTGGTTACTTACCTTGCTCTCCTTTGACACCCTCTGGTCCAGGTGGACCAGTACCCTCACAGCTAAGGCAGGCGTCTCCTTTATCACCTAAAAGTGGGGGAAGCCTCATCAGTACAGAAACTATGTTTTGACAAAACAACTTAAACTTGATACACAATATCTTTGAATATCCTGCTAGAACCATAGTAAAACTACATGAGCTTCACATGTGAAAAGTGAATGGTGAAATGGCGTGACATGCATGAAACACATTTTGCACATATATGATTTTGGAACATTTATACCATGTTCACATGATCCAATAGTTCACATAGTTTTATCAGATCATTCACAAGTGGGTACACTGTGGGGGGTGCTCCACGAGTATGGAATGGGGGCTCGTTTCTATGGACTGTTCGGTCCCGATACAAGCGGTGCGAGAGTTTGGTTTGTCTTGCCAGTAGGAAGTCAGACCCCTTCAGGGTGGGAGTTGGACTCCACCAGGGCTGCCCATTGTCAATGATTCTGTTCATAACTTTTATGGACAGAATTTCTTGGTGCAACCAGGGGGCAGCGGGAATCCAGTTGGGTGGCCTCAGGATTCCATCTTTGCTCTTTGCAGATGATGTGGTCCTGTTGGTGTCATTGTGCCGTGATCTTCAGCGCTCATAGGAGCAGTTCACAGTCAACTGTGAAACAGCTGAGGTGAGAATCAGCACCTCCAAATCTGAGGCCATGGTCCTCAGTCGAAGAAGGGTGGAGTGCTTTCTTCAGGTCGAGGGTGAGGTTCTGCCTCAAGTGGATGAGTTCAAATATCTTGGGGTTTTGTTCACGAATGAAGGAAGAACAGAGCGTGAGATTGACAGATGGATTGGTGCAGCATCTGAAGTATTGTGGACTCTGTACTGGTCCGTTGTGGTGAAGAGGAAGCTGAGCTGTAAGTCAGTCTATGTTTCTACCTTCACCTATGGTCATGAACGCTGGGTAGTGACCGAAAGAATGAGATCACAGATGCAGGGGGTTGAAATGAGTTTCTTCCGCAGGGTAGCTGGACTCTCTCTTAGAGATAGGGTGAGAAGTTCAGTTATCTGGCACAGACTCAGGAGTAGAACCGCTGCTCCTCCACATCAAGAGGAGCCAGTTGAGGTGGTTCGGGCATTTGGTAAAGATGCTCCCTGGGCGCCTCATAGGGAGGTGCTTTGGGTATGTCCAACTTGGAGGAGACCTCAAGCAAGATCCAGGACACCCTGAAGAGACTATATCTCTCAATTGGCCTGGGAATGTTTTGGAGTCCTCCTAGAAGAGCTGGAAGAGGTGGCTGTGGAAAGAGATGTCTGGGGACTCCTGCTCAAGCTGCTGCCCCTGAGTCCTGACTTAAAAATAAGCAGAAGATAATGGATGGATGTATGGATGTATGGATGTATGGATGTATGGATGTATGGATG